ACAAGGTTTCCAGCATATAGGGGGCCTTAACAAATGGTAAGTATACCTTTTATGTACATAATCAATATATTATATATATTGAAGCACCATATTTTCTGTATTCCACAAACATTTATCTGGTGCCTCTGGTGGCTGAGCATTGGATGCAGTGAGAACTTGATGAGTTTTAAGACACAGTCCCCACACATGGAGCGTTTAATCTTGTTCAGTAGACCACAGGAACACACCACACACACACAAGGCGGCAGCCAACAGGCCCCTTAAATTAAGTGCATTGGGGCCGGGCGCGGTGGCTAACGCCTGTCATCCTAGCACTCTGGGAGGCCGAGGCAGGCGGATTGCTCAAGGTCAGGAGTTCGAAACCAGCCTGAGCAAGAGCAAGACCCCATCTCTACTATATAATAGAAAGAAATTAATTGCCAACTAGTATATATAGAAAAATTAGCTGGGCCGGTGGCCATGCCTGTAGTCCCAGCTACTCGAGGCTGAGGCAGGGGATCGCTTGAGCCCAGGAAGTTTGAGGTTGCTGTGGAGCTAGGCGTGACGCCATGGCACTCACTCTACGCCGGGCAACAGAGTAGGACCTCTGTTCCAAAAAAAAAAAAATTAAGTGCATCAAATTGGCCGATTTTGATGGCCTTTTAAAAAACTGAGTGGCTTTGAATGTGCTCATTTTCCTTTTATCAAAGATGCTCCCACCATGTCTGTTCCTTTTCACCGTGGCTTTTTTTTTCTGTTTGAGAAATTTTAAAGACAAAAGCACAGAGAACATTATAACAAGCACCCACGTATTGCCACCCAAGAACAGAAAGTTATTGCATTTTTATCGTATTTACTGCAATCTTTTTAAATTAAAGAAATAAACTGTTTCACATAAATTTGGCGTTCCTTTTGTCCTCCTCCCCTATTTCTAATCTCATTCCTTTCCTTCCTTGTTCAGAATTTTGTATGGATTCTTCCAATCACTTCTCTATACGTGTGTGACCTGTACCACAGTTAAACCAGTGCATAGCATTGGTCTGCATGTCTTTAATTTATATAACCGGTATTCTGTGCCTGTATAAAACTTGCTTTTTTTTCCTTCATGTATGTTTCTGAGAATGATCCAACATTGACAGAGGTAGTTCTCGTGCATCCTTTTCAAGGTGGATGAGTAATCCGGTTGGTTTATATGCCCAGTCCCTGTGGATGGGTATTTGCATTGTTAACAGTTCTTGGCTTTTACAACCATGCAGAAGCGTTGTAACATTGCCGCATTTCCTTGCCTACCTGTTACAGACTTTTTATGGAGACTCTACCTACGAAGTGAAATTTTAACTAGTCTTAGCCTAATGCTTTAAAAAAAACCTGTTACACATTAAAGAGTATGGTTCCATACTAAAGAGTGAATGGTTATTACCAAGTTGAAATTGGGGGGAATTTTTTTTTTGTACATTTTTTTTATCTCTATTGGACCCCCTACTCTTTCTTTTACAGAAACTAATGTCCTAAGGAAAAGGGTGTGGTTCCCTTCTGAATCCGCTATCTCCCCACTCTGTTTCTTCTGCTTTGGTAGGAGGTGTCAGAAGGCGACCCACACCCATTTTCCTTAGGATCATTAGTTTCTGGTAAAACGAAAAGAGGTAGGGCGGTCAATATGAGATAAAAAAAATGTACAAAAAAAAATCTCCCCAATTTCAACTTGTTAATAACCATTCACTTCTTAGTAATGGAGACACCAATACTCTTTAATGTGTAACATTTTTTTTAAATGCATTAGCTAAGACTATGTAATGTTCCTTCTAAGGTAGAGTAATCATAAATCAAGTCTGTACAGTAGGCAAGGAAATGCCTGCAATGTTACAACGCTTCGCATCGGGTTTGTAAAACCAAGAACTGTTAAAAGCAAATACCCATCCAAAGGGACGGGCATATAAACCACGGGATTACTCATCCACCTTTGAAAAGGATGCACCCGGAACTACCTCTGTCATGTGGACATCATTCTCAGAAACATACCATGAAGGCGGAAAAAAAGCAAGTTATATAACAGGCACAGAAATACCGGTTATATAAATGAAACGACATGCAGACTCCAATGCTACTGCACTGTTGTAAGGTCACCACACGTATAGACGAGCTGATTGGGAAGAATCCATACAAAATTATGAACAAGGAAGGAAGAGGATGAGATTAGAAAACTGGGGGAGGCCGACAAAAGAACGCCAATGTATGTGAAACAGTTTATTCTTAATTTAAAAGACTGCAAGTAAATCGATAAAATTGCCATAACTTTCCGTTCTTGGTGGCAATACGTGGGTGCTTGTTAAATGTTCTCTGTGCTTTTTTGTCTTTCAAAATTTTCTCAACAAAAAAACAAAAGCCAACTGGAAAAGGAACAGACATGGTGCGGAGCATCTTTGATAAAAGGAAAATGAGCCACATCCAAAGCCACTCAGTTTTTTAAAAGGGCCAATCCAAAATCGGCCAATTTGAATGTCACTTAATTTTTTTTTTTTTTGAGACAGAGGTCTGCCTCTGTTGCCAGGCTAGAGGTGCCATGGGGTTCAGCCCAGTCACAGCCAACCTAAACTCCTGGGCTCAAGCGATCCTCCTGGCCTCAAGCCTCCCGAGAGCTTGTTGACACAGGCATTGCGCAACCAGGCCCCAAGCTAATTTTGTTCTATATATCCACTTAGTTGGCCAATTAATTTATTCTATTATGATAGTAGTAGATGGGTCCTTGCTCTTGCTCAGGCTGGTTTCGAACTCCTGACCTTGAGCAATCCGCCTGCCTCGGCCTCCCAGAGTGCTAGGATGACAGGCGTTAGCCACCGCGCCCGGCCCCAATGCACTTAATTTTAAGGGCTGTTGGCTGCCGCCTTGTGTGTGTGTGTGTGTTCCTGTGGTCTACTGAACAAGACTAAACGCTCCATGTGTGGGGACTGTGTCTTAAACTCATCAAGTTCTCACTGCATCCAATGCTCAGCCACCAGAGGCACCAGATAAATGTTTGTGGAATAAAGAAAGAATAGGTGCTCAATATATATATATAATTGATTATAGTAATAAAAGGTACTACCATTTGTTAATGGCCCCCTATATGCTGGTAACTTGTATCTTTAATTATCTCTGTATATCTCTGTATAATTAACCCTGCTTACAGATGAGGAGACTAAAGCTCAGAGACGTTAAACTCTGGGCCAACAGCCAGGAAGCCTTTACTGTGAGCTACAGTCTGAACCCAATGCGGGTGGCTCCAAGGGCCAGTGTCTCTGCACTGGGCAATACCAACTCCCTACAGCTCCTCACATGGGGTTTGCGTGGGCAGCTGAGCTCAAGATATATTTGCAGACTGGGTTCAAAACATGACACACAAATGAATTTTTTTTTTTTTATCTAATCCTTTAAAGGTTTCCTTTAGGGCCCCAAGCCTAGTGGCAGCAGAGGCTGAAGCCTATCTTTCAAGTCCATTCCCGGATACTTTGGTGAGGGGGGGAGGGCATGGTTACACAGGGACCCCAGGCCCCCTAACTCCTCATTCAGTCTCTCTCCCATAGGTCAGGCACTGGACTAGACGCCTTGAACTCAATCAGGCTGTCCCGCCCTGCCTTAGCATGCAGCCTCCAGGGGAGAAAGCCTTGCTCTTGCACGGCGAAGGCAATAAACGGATACATTGAAAGCATCAAAGCTGGGAGTGGGGACGACGGTGCGCTGGACAAGGGCCTGGGCTCCGGAGTCAGACTCTCCGTTCTGTCTTTCCCATTATATTTTTGGTTGCAATTAATTTCTTATTCTTATAGTAGAGACGGGGGTCTCGCTTGCTCAGGCTGGTTTCGACTCCTACCTTGGTGATCCACCTGCTCGGCTCCCAGAGTGCCCAGGATTACAGGTGTGAGCCACCTCGCCCGGCGATATGTAGAGTCTTTCTGCCTGACATGAGACCTCTCCTCCACCCGGGTCCCTACCTTTATAGTGCAGATACAGCGTATCATTCAACGCGGGGTGATATACAGCTTGTGCTGCTTGCAGAGTTTGCAGAAAATTTTAGTCATCTGTTCAAATGGAAAATAGGAACAGGAATTTATTTCAGCTTGTCAGCTGTAAAAATCCCAAAAGTTCTTCATACATCGATTCTGACCCAAATTCTAAACCTAAGCCTGGTATCATTAAGTTTTCTTTTTCTTTTTTTTTTTTTTGGTATAGATTTCAAGGCTCATCTACGTCATTAACTTTCAGCATTTTTGAAAAGTGCACTGTATGTTTAATAAAAATACTTTTAATAGCGTCATCAGGGAACTACTGTTTCCTCTCGGGCTGGCATTAAAGTTTATAAGTGTGTGATTAGCTGTGCCACACGGCAGTGCCATCCTGCTCTCAATACTTAATGACTCACAGACGTTGGACCGGCTCCTCCAATCTCCAGGAGCCTCAGTTTCTTATCTGTACATGCGGGTGATCAACCATTTACACACTCCATAAACGTGCACTAACTGGCGGCTTGCACGTACCTGGTGCCCTGGTCCTCCCTTCATCCCTGAGTGTGCTAAGTAAACCATCTGACCCGCTATCTCCACTCTGTTTCTTCTGGCTTTGGTAGGAGGTGTCAGAAGGACCCACACCCATTTCCTTAGGATCATAGTTTCTGTAAAAGAAAAGAGGTAGGGGTCAATAGAGATAAAAAAAATGTACAAAAAAAATTCCCCAATTTCAACTTGGTTAATAACCATCCACTTTTAGTATGGAACACCATACTCTTTAATGTGTAACATTTTTTATTTAAATGTGTAACATTTTAAGCATTAGCTAAGACTATGTAAATTTCATTTTCTGTGGAGTCTCCATAAAAGTCTTGTACAGTAGGCAAGGAAAGCGTGCAATGTTACAACGCTTCTGCATGGGTTGTAAAGCCAAGAACTGTTAACAATGCATACCCATCCACAGGGATGGGCATTATAAACCAACGATTACTCATCCACCTTTGAAAAGGATGCACGAGAACTACCTCTTCAGTATGGATCATTCTCAGAAACATACATGAAGGGAAAAAAAGCAAGTTTTATAACAGGCACAGAATACCGGTTATATAAATAAAGACATGCAGACCAATGCTATGCACTGTTTAAGGTCACATACGTATAGATGATTGGAAGATCCATACAAGATTCTGAACAAGGAAGGAAAGGAATGGATTGGAATGGGGAGGGACAAAAGGAACGCCAATTATGTGATCAGTTTATTTCTTTAATTTAAAAGATTGCAAGTAAATAGGATAAAAATGCCAATAACTTCTGTTCTTGGTGGCAATACGTGGGTGCTTGTTATAATGTTCTCTGTGCTTTTGTCTTTAATTCTCAACAGAAAAAAAAAGCCACGTGAAAAGGAACAGACATGGTGGAGCATCTTTGATAAAGGAAAATAAGCACATTCAAATCCACTCAGTTTTTTAAAAGGCCAGTCAAATCGGCAATTGAATGCATTATTTTTTTTTTTTTTTTGAGACAGATCTCACTCTGTTGCCCGGCTAGAGTGAGTGCCGTGGCGTCCCTAGCTCACAGCAACCTCAACTCCTGGCTCAAGCGATCCTCTGCCTCAGCCTCCGAGTAGCTGGACTACAGGCATGTGCACCAGGCCCAGCTAATTTTTCTATATATACTAGTGGCCAATATTTTCTATTATATAGTAGGATGCGTATCCCCCCACCCCCCACCCCTGGGGAAAGCGGCGCACACAGGGCGGAGAGAAAGACTGCGCCTGCCGGGCGCGCTTACAGAGGTTTTCGATGGTCTTGATGTAATTGTTGCTGAGGTTAAGAGCGTCCAGCTTCTGCAGAGGCTCCAGGTTCTCAATCTTACGAAGCAAGTTCACTTGCAAGAAGAGGCACCGCAGCTCCGTCTGGGCCTCCAGGTTCTCGATCTTCTGTATGCCGTTGCACTCCAACCACAGACAGCGCAGCCCCGTGTACTCCTCCAAGTTCTCGATGCGATCGAAGCCTAGTGGGAAGGAGGGGGAGGGGTGTCAGTTAAGCTCCTAACACCCACACGCGGGCAAGGGGGCAGGGCCGCCCTTGGTTTTGCCTACTGCTAGGCGCCCAATGTCTATGTCCCTTTAAAATACATATGTCGAAATTGAGAACTAAAATAAAATCTTAAGCCCCTAGCCCCCAGATGACAGAATGGACCCCCCTCTTGGCCAACAGGGACCCCAGGGAAACCTTGAAGCTGAGCTGCTGGCCGTGCGGACCAGGGAGGTGAGACCCGCCTTGTCACGCTCCCCTCCCTTTTGGAGTTGCTCTTTGTAACAATAAAGACACTGAATGGTTAACAGGCCCAAGGCCATGCCAGACAAAGCTTGCTCCACGCCTGCAGACCATCGATGCACTTGACACATCCCTCGAGTCCGGTGTGTGTCCATATATGTCTGTGGCTTGTCTCTGATTAACAGACATCCTCAAGGCAAGACATTCCAAGCCTTTAGACGAGGTTTCATTTTTTAAAACAATTATAAATCAAAGAAGCCTTAAACCCACCTATATTCTATAGGCTCCCCCCCACCCCCTCCCTTGGGATGTTAGTCATTACTCATTTATTTACCGTCTCTCCAGGAACCTTGGGGAGGAATGCGCCATCTGCCATTCACTCCTCCCCTCTCAATACTTGGGTCACCACCCTTGGCTAAGTCTCCCAGAACATCCCGGTTGTTGAATGCCATTGCCGGTTCCCAACCGCCCCAACCGCCCCGAGGTGTCTGCCCCCGAGGGCCCTGCCCCTCTTTGTCTGAGCTTTCTAGAGGAGAGGGGACTCCTGAGACCAACCGAATCCTGCCCTGTGGTGACGCCTCTTTTCCGCAACTGGGCGTCTGTCTTGGCCTCAGTCTCCTTTTCTGGCTCACTCCCTCTGGGGACACCAGGGGCCTTAGAGAGGCTCTCCCGGTGAGGAATGGAGGCCTCTGGGCCGGCGGCCAGTGGGGGCCTGAGGCCGGGAGCCCATGCCCGATTCTCGGCCCCAGGCCAGGCTTCAGAGAATTAAGGCCTGGCTGATAGTTTAACTCCAGCAGCCTCATGGGACACCCCGGCGGGCCGCTCCCGGGGGGCCTGGCCCTCAGAGGCTGAGGGGGTAATGAAGGTGCTTCAAGTTGCTGAGTTTTAAGGTAATTTGTGACGCAGCAATAGGCACCGCTCTCTCCCAGCCCTATGTCCCTCCCTGACTCTGTCTAGAGCAAGAGTCTTTCTGGGCGACTCTGGATGGGGGAGCAGGTGGGGGCCGGGACGCTAGGTCCCGGGGGGTGGGGGGGGCTTTGCGCGTCTCCCTGGCATGGCGCCGAGCTCACAAGTGGTGAGGCTGCCCCCGTCCCCCAAGAAGCCAAAGGCATCTTGGCCAGGTCCCTTTCCGCGTTTCCTGCGCTGAGCACAGCGCCCGGCACGCAGAAGGCTCTCGGGGAGCACTTTCTGAATAAATAAACGAACACTAAAGTGACTGATAAAGGAAGTTGGCCCTCCCCAACCCAGCAGAGACTGGCAGCTCTCGCCCCTCTTTACCATTGCTAGCAGTAGCCCCGCCTGGGCACCTGCACTTAAATCTACGTGTGACCCCGGACCCCAATCCCGAGTCCCGTTCCCACCTCTCCGCCCTGAAAGGGCACCCAAAGTTCCCCATCCTTTGTTCTCTGTGCCTGTCTTCAACCCCCGCAGCATACCCCTCCCACGCCCAGAGCACTTACACATCAGCTTTGAAAAATTAAAAGTCCTTAGAGAACATAAATAAAAGATACCCATGTGCTTCCTAAGTATGCCCCACAGCCAGCGGCCCCTTGATGAACTCTACTCAAGCAAGACTTTTTCTTGAAAGAAACGTTACTGCTTTTTCCATATATACATCTCCACCGAACTCTGAAATTTCTATTTAAATATAATCTGAGAACTAAAGATGATCCCTGAAAGTAAGGTTTTGTACCACTAGATATGTAGAGTCTTTTAATTTTTTTTTTTCTTTGTTGCCCAGGCTAGAGTGCTGTGGCGTCAGCCTCGCTCACGGCAAACTCCTGGGCTCAAGCGATCCTCCTGCCTCAGCCTCCCGAGCAGCTGGGATTACAGGCATGCGCCACCGTACCCGGCTAATTTTTTCCATATATATTTTTAGTTTGCCAATTAATTTCTTTCTACTTATAGTAGAGA